ACATTGTGGTCATGGTCATGCAGTTGTTTTACAGTCATCAACATGAGACACATCAGAACCTTTTCATTATTTTCTCATTACATTGTGATCATGGTCATGTAGTTGTTTTACAGTCATCAACATGAGACACATCAGAACCTTTTCATTATTTTCTCATTACCTTGTGATCATGGTCATGTAGTTGTTTTACAGTCATCAACATGAGACACATCAGAACCTTTTCTATTCTTTTCTCATTACATTGTGGTCACAGTCATGTAGTTGTTTTACAGTCATCAACATGAGACACATCAGAACCTTTTCATTATTTTCTCATTACATTGTGGTCACTGTCATGTAGTTGTTTTACAGTCATCAACATGAGACACATCAGAACCTTTTCATTATTTTCTCATTACATTGTGGTCACAGTCATGTAGTTGTTTTACAGTCATCAACATGAGACACATCAGAACCTTTTCATTATTTTCTCATTACATTGTGGTCACAGTCATGTAGTTGTTTAGAGATTAAATAAATATACATTCTGTACTGATTTGATAATGAAACTAGATCTATACAAAGGTTATTTAGCTGGGAATTGGAATTTTCTGGAAATGCAAAAAAAGATTATAGCAGCACCAATTCAGCTCTTTGTATTATGATATATACCTACCTTATTCTTTCCATCCATATTAAAATAGATTTATTATCAGTAACAAAAAAAATAGTCAGTATATATTAATTGAACTTGAATATTCCCCAAGAATTCAACTTGGAAACTAAAACTGATAAATAAACATGTGAATTAATAAAGCTTGTCAGTTCATACTGGTTAGTAACTATATGTATGTATGTATATATAGTGTTTTCTATATCTTTTGTGGATATAAATTGGCACCCATATTTCTTGAGGTTGGAATGTGAAAGTACAAAGATAAAAATCTGATTACATATGTTTCATGTGTCTCACTATTAGGAAAACGTAGAACAGTTTCAAAGTGAAAATGAAATAAGATCTATGGTCTGTAGATCTACACTAGTGCCCTCTACAGGTCAAGTAGGAGCATCATCACTTGCTACTCAATCTGTCAGGTAAGTAACCCAATATATAGGTCAGAAAGAGGTTCTCAAATAGATTGTTTTTCAGTGTCTCAGATTGAATGCATACTTCAAGAGAAGAAGTATGAGTACATTATATTATCTGTTCAGACTAACATAAATATTAGCACATAATGATATGTTTACACTAAAGACTATTACTATAAAAATAAAAACGTAAAGAAAATCTCTATCTGTTCAGCCTCCTCTGCCTTCATTCTAACATAAATATTAGCACATAATGATATGTTTACACTAAAGACTATTACTATAAGAATAAAAACATAAAGAAAATCTCTATCTGTGAATGATCATTATAGACTCACATACATATGACTGAACTACAGAAAGGCGAACTTTTCTTTTAAGTTCTCTGTGTATGAAGAGCCCCCTACTGGAAGAAATTGTAACAAGAACTCGTAAAGATAATTTGATAAAGTTTGAAGATGGCTTGAATGGGTAATGAAGAAAGTTTTATAATAAGTTTAATATAGTAACAAATTTACAAGGTTTTGTTGTACATCTGTTACTATGTTAAACTCGTTCAAGCCATCTTCAAACTTTATTATATCAAACTGGGTTCCTCATCATCAAATTTAAATCTAAATTGTTTATTTTTACAGATATATGATAACGAAAACTGAAACATAGTTCTACAAAGTAGGCTTAGATAGTTTCAGATATTCTCGTCGAGTGGAGGTAAAACTGTCCTAATAAATGGGCTTAACATGGAAAGCCCTCTATCACCCAGTCCTAGCAAATGGGCTTAGTATGAGAAGCCCTCTATCACCCAGTCCTAATAAATTGGCTTAGCATGGGAACCCCTCTATCACGCAGTCCTAAGAAATGGGTTTAGCATGGAAAGCCCCTTATCACCCACTTTAGCAAATTTGTATGTATTTATTTGATTTAAAATAACTACAGATTAAGTCAATAAATTTGATTATTACACTTTAGAGTTGTAATTACAAAGGGATGAAATACAGCATATATTAGAGTTGTAATTACAAAGGGATGAAATACAGCGTATATTAGAGTTGTAATTACAAAGGGATGAAATACAGTATATTAGAGTTGTAATTACAAAGGGATGAAATACAGCGTATATTAGAGTTGTAATTAAAAGGGATGAAATACAGCGTATATTAGAGTTGTAATTACAAAGGGATGAAATACAGTATATATTAGAGTTGTAATTACAAAGGGATGAAATACAGCGTATATTAGAGTTGTAATTACAAAGGGATGAAATACAGCGTATATTAGAGTTGTAATTACAAAGGGATGAAATACAGCATATATTAACCTTTTGTATCTGTTCAGACACATAGGGGTGTAATTTAAAAAAGTCAAAGAGTGACCTCTTCTTTCTCCTAAGAAATACGTCTGTTGATTGTTTTGTTCTAAAGTTGTTTCTTAGTTTGAACTGTCCATATAAAAGAACAAGATATTCATTATAAACAATGAGAGAACATAAAACTGTCAAAGGTTTATGGTCCTATAAAACATACTGTTTTTATTTATTTCCTTTCTGTATTTATGATACACTTCTCTAAGAAAAAGCTGATAATTAATTTCTCTGCTTTTATTCTTGTGTATTTTTGTATCATTGTTAGTTTTAATTTGTGTGTGAAGTAATTTCATGTAAAAGAAGAATGAATACTCACATTTAATTCTTACAGTTTGGGGGATACTTTAGTTGGAATAACAACGAAACCTTCATACAACAACATCAGCATTGTGAAGGAGTTTGTAGAAGGTGAGTGATGTTAGCTAATATTTAAGTTAAAATATATTTGATTGTCACTAATTATGTTATTTTAGTGTAATGATCCATTAAAAAACATAATCTTTTGTAAAGTACAAAGAAATAACAATTAAATTACAGGCAAAACTTAGCACAGTGTTAAACTACAAACACAGCTTAGTACAGTGTTAAATTATAGACACAGTTTAGTACAGTGTTAAATTATAGACACAGCATAGTACAGTGTTAAACTACAAACACAGCTTAGTACAGTGTTAAACTACAAACACAGCTTAGTACAGTGTTAAACTA